GCCCCCTTCAAGCACCCGCCTTGGCCCCTCACATCCTAAAGGTTCTGATTCAGGGAACATGGCCAGCTCAGGCCACATCCCCTCAGACGGCCACATCTGTGGTCCTCTTGCTCCCACTCCAGCAACACATTTGAGAACCTGCAGCCGTGAGGCCAGGAACCTGATCACGGCTTTCCCCAGCTGATGGCCAGTGCACCCCTGCTCACGGCCAGCACCCTAGGATCGAATCCAGATTCCTCCCCATGGCCTTATGCCTTAGGCTCACCCCACCCACTCTCGCCCTTGGCTGCCGAGGTCCCCCCACACCCTGTGCCTCATGTTTGCCTCTCAGGCCATGCACGTGCTGCTGGAGCTTTGCCAGATGGTTCCTTCCAACCCTCCCTGCATGTCTGTCATCGTCCCTCTGCTGTCCCCTTCATGGCACTGGGCACCATTTAGTTCTGCTCAATCGTGACCAGTGCGCTTATCTCCCTCTCCGCAGCGCCAGTCCTTCAGGCCAGACACCCCCTTGGCCTTGCGGGCCTCTCCCTGGTCCCCCGTCCAGCACAGAGCCTGGCACACACAGGGCTCACCATAAAGATCTGAGGAATAAAGGAACACGGAACTGCACTTTGAGACGGGGCATCTGAACATCTTTCTCTTGAACGCCAAAAGAGGACCAGCAGGTCACAAGGACACATGACCGGGGGAGGGGGACACAAGCACATGGTGTTTGCAGGTTGGACATACTCTCTTTGATTTTTTTTTTTTTTTTTTCATGAAACTCCGGGGCATCTTTGGCTAGTTTAGGTTTTCCTACTTTAGTCCAAACACATGGTTTGGAAAAGCCATTCCACTTTCTCCCTATGTGATGACAGAAAAATCCAAAGTTCAAGCTCAAGGGTAAATGGTAACTAATGCTATGGGAAGCTTCAGTATGGGGAAGACAGCAGGGAGGAGTGGGGACTGTGGCAAACAGGGACCCAGACCTACCAGAACAGCTAATGTTTTATTTTACTTCATTTTTGTAAGTAGGCTTTATGCTCCATGTGGGGCTTGAACTCCTGACCCTGAGATCAAGGGTCACCTGCTCCACTGACCGAGAGCCTCCGGGCTGGCTTGGCTGGTGGAGCATGTGACTCTTCATCTTGGGGTTGTGAGTTCAAGCCCCGCACTGGGCATAGAGCTTCCCTTAGAACAAAACAAAATACAACAGACTGCCTAATATTTTAAATAAACCAGAAACTCGGAGTTTTTCACGAGAGTGCTCTATTTAAGAAGCCCTATGTTGACAGATCCAGTCACATCAGACTGCGGGACTCAGCACTTGGGCTAGGAGTTTGCAACCCCCGCTCTAGTCCACATGCGGTGAACAGAACCAAGTGTTTTCTCCGCCTTCATCCTCTGCTCACTCAAGCAGAGAACCTGGGCCTCGGAAAGTGCTGGCCTGATGTCCTCCCACCCAGGCCATGAACCTCACAAGCCTGTCCTGTGTCTCAGCAGAGGAACCAAAGACAACGCTGAAAGAGCCTGGCCAAGGATTCACCCGTGCGTGGTACCGACGCTCCGCTATTCGGGAGGGCCCTGAACGACCTGTCCTTGTAAATCAGAGCGTGCCCGAGAAGCAAACATCTCTCTCTCTGCCATCTTGAAGCAGCTTCTCGAGACCAGCCTGAAACTCCCCCACAAAAGAGGAAGTTCAAACCAGAAAGAGAGAGAAAGTAAAACACAAAAAACTGATTGACCAGAATACCCTAAAGGCACCAAAAACAGTAAAATACTCACCTGCCCGCCAATGTCAGCCAGCCTCGCTGCCGCCGCGCTTCTGCCCTCCTCGCTGACCACACCTCCCACGGCTGCCCCTTCCACCGGCTACTCTCCCATCCCAAAGGGCATCCTGCTTCCTTCCACCCCAGGGCCTTTGCAGATTTTGTTCCCTCTGCCTGGGTGATTTTTCTCCTCGTAGCCTGGCCAGCTCTCATTCACACTTTGGGCCTCAGTCTAAAATGCTGCCGCCTCAAGGCAGCCTTCCCTGATTGCACCCCAACAACGTCAGGTCCCTGGGCTGCTTCTTTCTTGCACATTCCTCAGTGGGTACCACTCAGGTCTCCCCTTCCCTGGAGAGACCTTGCCCGCCCCCTGTCTTGCTGACTCACACAGATACCCTCTATCACACCACCACGTGTTTGCTCCCAGGGCTGCTGTCCCCATCTAGAGCTTTTGTGCATGACGTGTCTGTGGCCCGATGGTGTCCTGAGAGCAGGGCCCCTGCGTGTTTCACTGCTGTCCCCAGCTCCTGGCACAGACCAGAGGTTCAAGGTGTTGAACACAGCAGGGCCCACTTCACTAGGAACCCCAGGACACCCCTAGGACTGGAGCTGGCTGGTCTGGGACCCATTTAAAAGCCAAAAGTGGCCCCAGGAGAAGGGCCCAGCTGTCCAGGCCTGTTTCCAACTAACTCAGATCTCCCTTTTCCAGCTCACTGACCCATCTGCAAACAGCCTCAGCACGGGGACCCGCTAATGAATTAAGCTTTAAGTAGAGGTTACGAGTGACTCTGCTCCCGCAGTTTCTGCTGCTTCTGGTAAATAAACTTCAGCCAGCGCTCTAAGTGGGTTTATTGCCACACGGAGCTGCAGGGAGCGGGGCTCTTCATTACCTCCCTCACAAACGAGGGTGAGCCAGCCCGTGTCTGAGTTAAAGAGAGCCCTGAGTGAGAAAATGAAGTTAACACACGCAGTTTGTCTTGAAGGCTGTCCCTAATAGAGACAAAATGAAGCTGAGGTTTAGCCGCTGGGCACAATGACATCTCTCTGCTGAGAGCAAGGCAGAGAAGGAACAAGAAACACGCTCACGTTCCTTAAACCAGTGAAAAACTGTAGACACCCCCAAAAGCCCGTCCCTTGGGGGCAGAGGTCATAAATTACGGCCCCTCCAGTGGGCGGTGCTGATTCTGCGAGGGCCTCTGTTTTCTCAGCCATACAAGCCACCCAAAAACCTCCTGGCCACTGGGTCAGTGGGAACAGGGCGTAGCACACAGCTAGCACATAGTATGTGCCCAGGAAACGGGAGTAATTATTACTTCATTGTGGGATACTAGGAAGCCAAAGAATGATGGCACCTGCGGTCTCCAACACGGAAGCCACCAGCCTCATATAACTATTAAACATTTAGAATACGGCTGGTCCAAATGGAGATATGTTGTAAGTTCAGTAGGAAAGCCTGATTTGGGAGCGCCTAGGTGGCTCAGTTGGTTAAGGGTCCAACTCTTGATTTCGGCTCAGGTCATGATCTTGGGATCGTGAGATCGAACCCCAGGACCGGCTCCAGGCTGGGAGACGATTCTGCTTAAGATTCTCTCTCCCTGGCCCTCTGCCCTTCCCCACTCCCCACCTCTCTCTCTCTCCCCCTCTCTTAAAAATAAAAAAAAAAGGGGCGCCTGGGTGGCTCAGTGGGTTAAAGCCTCTGCCTTCGGCTCAGGTCATGATCTCAGGGTCCTGGGATCGAGCCCCACAACAGGTTCTCTGCTCAGTGGGGAGCCTGCTTCCTCCTCTCTCTCTCTGCCTGCCTCTCTGCTTACTTATGATCTCTCTCTCTGTCAAATAAATAAATAAATAAAATCTTTAAAAATAAATAAAAAAATAAAAAGCCTGATTTTGAAAACCTAGCACATAAAAAAGTAAAAATCTCATTAAAATTGTTTTACACTGATTACATATTAAAATGATTGACATTTTGGAGGCACTGTTATTTTAAGTGTAATGGGACTAATTTCACCTGTTTCTTTTTCCTTTTTTATATGGCTCCCAGAACATTTCAAATTACATGAATGGCTCATATTCGTGACTCAGATTATATTTCTATTGGACAGCTTTTATGGATACATTCTGACATGAAAATATGTCCATGCTATTTTGTAAAATTGAGATGTGATTCACATATCATAAAATTCACCCCTTAAAAGTGTACAATTCTGTGGTTTTCAGTGTATTCACGAAGTTGCGCAACCATCACTACTAATTCCAGAACATTTTCATCACCCTGAAAAGCCCTGTCCCTTATCATTAGCAGTCACTCCCCATTTGTTCATGCGATTTTGATTGGAAAAAAGCAACCTGCAGAACGGCATTACAGTATCAAGTGGGGTTTTATAAAAACTAACACATAGCATTACTAATATGTATGCATACCCACATTTGAAAATGCATTTTTTAAGTGTCTGGAATGAGGCACACCACACTGTTGGTGATGGTTATCTCTGGGGACTGGAGTTAGGGACGCAGAGAAAAAGGAGAGGGTGCTCACCCTTTATTTGCTATAGTTCTGTCCTGCTTTTGAGATTTAAAAAGATAATGAGTTGAATTCAAGCCTTAAATAACTCCTGGCCGACTTGGATAAATAACTTTTTCACGGCACTGTTAACAGACTGGCTTCAGCTGGAAGATGAAGGGCCTAGTTTCAGATCTACTTTTTATTCTGTGCTTTTAAAATAGAAAGTACAGATAGAGACGAGGTATTTTCCCTCTTAGCAACAGCAGGACCAAGGCCCAGGGCTTTCCCGCACAGACGCAGCCCGCCCGCCTCCTCCCAGGCCCGGGGCCCCTGGTTCGCAGCGAAGTGGGCTGAGCGCCCGGCGGGGGGCAGGACCCGGGGGCGGCCTCCCCAGGGCCCCGCCTGGAAAAGGGCAGCGGCTGCCTGCGCGCCTTGCTCCACAGTCCCCGCGGATGCTGGGAGCCCTGACCGGGAAGCGACGCGAGTCTGCGACCCCGGGGGCCTTATCCGCTGGAGAAGGGAGCGGTGCGACCTGCCGCGTATCTCTGGGCGGCGCCAGGCATCACCTCTCCGCAAAGGAGGGGGCCCTCCGACCCCTGTGCCGGGTGTGAGAGGATGCGGCGGGGACGCCAAGGGTTCGGGTCCCGGCGCTCCGGAGGCCGCACCCACCCTTTCCTGCGGCCGGGTGCAAGAGCCCAGACCCTCAACCCCGAGACGCGCCTCCCCCACCGCCATCCCCTGTCCTCTACCTCGGCCCCGGGCTCGGGGGTCAGGAAGAGCGCGAGCTCGCGCGCCCCGCTGCGCACGGACTCCGGCGGGTCGGCGTCCACGAGCAGCATCAGGAGCGCGACGGGGTCCAGCTGGAGGAGGCTGCGGGGGAGCCGGTGGCCGCGTCCCGGCCTCGGAGCCCCGCCCCCGACCGGCTGCATGCCCCGTGGCCCGCCTGGAGGAGGCGGGGCAGGTGCGCACCGGGCCTCGGCCCCCACACGCCTCCCCGAGCGCCGGGCCGAGTGGGCAGCGCCACCCAGTGGCGCGCGGTGCTCACTGCTCCCGGCCCTCGCACCACCTTGGTAAAGCAAAGCTTCTCAAACTCGCCTGCCCATTGCCATCACCTGGGACCCTTAGAACTTCCAAAGTCCCGCCCACACGCAGTCTCTGGGGTGGGGACCAGGGCACCAGTGTTTTTTGAAGTTCGCCTGATGATTCCAAAATACAGCCGAGTTTGAGAACCGCGCGTAGAGACCACCCCTTTTCCCTGGAATCCGGGCGGAGCCACGGTTCCCAGCATCCATGGCACTTTAGACTGCCCCGGGGAGCTTTCAAAAGCCCGGAAGCCGGGCCTCACCCGGGCCGATCCAGCCGGAACCCCTGGGGGTGGGGCTTGAGCATCAGTAGTTTTTAAAGCTCCCGGGTGTTTCCAGCATCCAGGATAGAGAACCGCCATCCAGAGGATCCTTTCATTTAAAGACCAAAGCCCCGCCCCCAAGGCCGCCCTAACTCCAGCATCTTGTTTGCGCCCGGCGGAGAGTCCTGGGAATTAGAGAAACCGGCCGTAGCAGCCTTTCCCTCCCAGGAGCAGCTTTTTAAAATAAACTCCCCAGGGAATTCGTAAATGTTCTAAGCTTGACCCCCCCCCCCCCATGCATACACAGTCAGCCCTGGGAGGCTTGTGTAGACCCTCTATAGAGGCTGAAGAGGGCGGGGTGCATCCCCTCCAAAAAAAAAACCCGAATAAGGAAAATCCAAAAAATGGTGAAGAGGTCTGGGGAAATCTAGAGTTCTCATTTTTCCTATGACGCCTTTTTTTTTTTTAATGTTGCATGCGTGGAACAAAATCAGGCTGGGCTTAGGGTTATTAATAAATATCGGCAACGCCCCCCATTCCTCGCTCCCCCACCCAATCCCGGTTAAATCTACATGTAGAGTTTATCTGACAACCCCAGGTAGGAGGCGTGAGCTCCTGCTCCCTCCGGCTTGTGGGTGATCTGTCCCCGTACAAGCTGTAAAATTCCCACTTCCACATCTGCTTCCCACTCATTTCTCCACATCTCGGCCCAAACATTCAGGCCTTCAGGTCAGGGTCGCTTTCTGGAAAAATCTTGGGAAAGATTTGGGCCGCATTTGTTAAAGGTCTTGATAGGAACTCACGGGACCTGAATGTTCATTACCGTCGTGATTTTCCTGACGCTCGGAGCCCTTCCTCTCATCACACAAGATCCCCAGGAACAAGACCAGACCCTCACCGCGACAGGCGGGCTGGGATCCTTAGGAAAGCCCAGGACTGACTTCAGATGACTTCAGCAAACTTCCCCCGGTGGATGAGACTCACGAACATAATGCTAACAAGGGGGGAAAAAAAAAAAAGTTGCAGAAGGCTCCGTAGGGCACTCTGCCATTAACATAAAGGTTTAAAAACATGCAAAACCACACTCTATATTGTGTATGGATACAGCCATATGGAGTAAAAGGCGAAAGCAGCGCCTGGGAGCGGTGCGAACCCCATTCAGGAAAGCGGTGGGGGGAGGGGATGGAGGCGGCTGAACGGGGTTTCAGTTAGATCCCTAACGTTGGTGGCTATCGGAGTTAAACCTACTGGATGCCCAGAATGACTCACTAAAAGCAAGGCAAATAAAAGGCCTGGGATATTGGCTGAAAGGGCAGGAGGCTCAGACCCCCTTGGCCCAGGAATTGGGGTGTCTGCGGAAGGATCCGGCCTCTTCCCCAGAGTCTCAGCGATTTCTACCCTGAGCTGAGTTGGCTAGCCAACAGTCATTTTGCTGTCAGGTTTCCCCCCACCCCGCCCCTAAATGTGTGATTATGCCTTAGAAACATTTTGCTAAAAATACAGATGCCCGGAGCCCTCCCCCAACTTTCTGAATCCGAATCTCTGAGGAGCTCCAGGCATCTGCCTCTTAACAGCCCCGCAGGTTCTTCTGATGCTCGCCAAAGTGTCAGAAGGACCCCTATTCGGGGGCTCCCTCTTGCTGCGGGCGTTACCCAGGGACCCTGGGGGAGGCCACGTCCATGGTTTTCAACGAAGGGGACTGAGTGTGGAACGATCTCCTGGCGGGTCGGTGGTGCCTGGCTGTGCCTCAGCGCCCTGCCCCCAGTTCCCAGCTCTTGGGTAGACCCAGGGGCAGGCAACACGCCTGAGGCCTGGCATGCAGCCTGCCAGGGCCGCACCCTGCCTAAACCAGTTTGAACCAGCTGCAGGGATGGAGCCGTGGCGTGTCCCCACGAGCTCCCTCTGGCGCCCAATCCGGGCTCCGAGCTTCGTTTCTGGTCTCCCGATTGGGAGTCCTCCGCGGGTGCGGGCAGCGGCCCCTCTCCCAGCCTGGGGGTGGGGGTGCCAGTGGTGGCCAGGCCCGCAAGGCTCCCTGGAGCCGTAGTAGGAGTCCCAAGCTGGGCCCCCGGGGTCACACAGCCTGCCACACCCCACCCCCATCTGGCTTCCCCTCCAGCTACAAAATGGTTGCTTGTTTGTGTCTTCTCAAGGTCACTTCTCCCAGTCCAGTACTTGGGCATACAGGGTTCAAGATTAGCAATGGTTCCCAAGCTTGGCAGCACCTCAGAAACTCCTGGGAAGCTTCCAGAAAATACTGATGCCCAGTCCCCACCCCAGAGATTGTGATTTAATTGGCCTGGGGCGTGGCCTCCGTCTGGGGACATTTAACAGATCCCCCAAGCGATTCTAATCTATACTCTTCCAGGGCTTGCTTAACTCTGTGGGCGCTGGTGACTGAAGGGTCCCTTGTATCTACCACAGTCCCCGTGGCCACCGTGTCCTTTGCACTTACGGCAGGCCAGGCGCTGTCCACAGAGACAGGACCTGTCGAATATCGGCCACACCCTGTGAGGTAGGTAGGTGGGCCTTGCTGTGAGCCCATTTCACAGATGAAGAAACTGTGACAGAAACAGAGAGGCTAAACCGCTTGCCCAGCATCATAACTATTATAAGCAAGAGCCAGGATTTAAGCTCAGACAATCCGATTCCAGAACCCACCTCCTTACCTGCCTCTCACACCATCCTGCCTCCTACAAGATAACTCCTTTGGGTTCCTATTGCTGCCTCCCTACTTGTAGCCTGGCCTGTTAGAAGAGCCTTGCTGCCCTGCCCGGTGCCAGCCTGCCCTCTTCAGTGCCTTCCCTCTACAGCACATTTTAGCCATCTTCCTTCTTGCTCAGAAACCTTCGGTGGCTACACCCCTGGCCCTGCCTTGCCAATCTGTTTTCTCTGCCTTTCTCCTTGAACCCTAAAATGACAAATGGGAGCCCATGGAGCAGGGGTCAGGAATCGGGGGAGTCAGGAGAGCCATGTGGAGTGTGAACCATATGGGGACCTCGCTCTTGGGGTCTCCTCATACTGCGTGCCCTGGGTGTCTTGCTTGCCTTATCTGAGTCCTGACCCTCCCCAAATTCCTTCTTTGAACCTAAACCCCACGTTAGGACCTGTGGGAAGTGATCAGGTCATGAGAGTAGAGCCCTTGGGAATGGGATGAGTGCCCTTATCCAAGTTGCCCCGGAGAGCTCCCTGCCCCTTCCACCAAGTGAGGACGCAGTGGGAAGCCAGCAGCCCAGAAGCTGGCTCTCACCAGACATGTAATCCGCTCGCTCCTCCAGCTTTCCAGCCTCTGGAACCACGAGAAATAACCGTTGTTTATAAGTCATGGTCTGTGGGATTTTGTGAGAGCACCCTGAACAGACTAAGACATCTGCATGTTTGATGTAGATAACATCATGTTTAAAGATATATCTTTTGGGGCGCCTGGGTGGCTCAGTGGGTTAAAGCCTCTGCCTTTGGCTCAGGTCATGATCCCTGGGATCGAGCCCCACATTGGACTCTCTGCTCAGCGGGGAGCCTGCTTCCTCCTCTCTCTGCCTCTCTGCCTACTTGTGACCTCTGTCTGTCAAATAAATAAATAAAATCTTAAAAAAATATATATCTTTTAATATGGTAGACTCTTTTTTTTTTTTTTTTAAGATTATTCGAGAGATGGGGCACCTGGGTGGCTCAGTGGCTTAAAGCCTCTACCTTGGGCTCAGGTCGTGATCCCAGGGTCCTGGGATTGAGCCCGCATCCGGCTCTCTGCTCGGCAGGGAGCCTGCTTCCTCCTCTCTCTGTCTCTCTGCCTGCCTCTCTGCCTACTTGTGATCTCTGTCTGTCAAATAAATAAATAAAATCTTAAAAAAAAAAAAAAAAAGGATTATTCGAGAGAGGGAGAGCTCCCGGTGGAGCAGCAGAGGGAGAGGGAGAGAGAGACTCTCCAGCAGGCTCTGCACTAAGCACGGAGCCCGACACGGGGCTCCATCTCACGACCCCGAGATCACAACCCGAGCCCAAACCAACAGTCAGATGCCTAGGCACCCCGACAGGGTGGTCTTTTACAGTTCATGTGGACTTTCAGACTCCTGGCCTCTCCTGACAAGAAAGGAAAGATCTGGAAACCACGAGCCCGCACTGGGACATGGCAGTACTTGGCCAGTGAAGGAGCTGCCCCAGTCTGCCAGTCTCCCACCCTCCACTGTCTCTAACTGACCTGTCGGCCCCTAGAGGTGTCTGGGTTTCGGCCCTCCCGGATCCCCTGGACACGGCCCCACATCTGTGCCCAGCATTCCCAGTCCGCAACGCCCTGCCTTCCCCGGAGCTGCCTCTGCCTGTCTTCAGGGACCCAGGATTCTCCGCTGCAAGCAGATGTGCCCTTTAGGCTTGCTTTCTGAGACCTTCCACCTTCGAAGTCTCAAATCCCCCCCCCCCCCCCCCCCCCCCCCCAGACAGCAAGTTCCCGGAGGACGGAGAATATATTCCATGCATTTTTTTTTCTTTTTTGCCGAGGGGGTCCAGTGGGCTGCCTTTGCACATAGGAAGTCCTCAATAAACACATATATCTAAAATTTGAAGTTCCTCTCCTGCTTAGCATCTCTGTTTCCCACTAGCAAACTAATTTAGAACATAACCCCTCTTCAAAGAGGCACAGTGAAAAACCAGGTTTTG